AACCAACGTATTGAGCATGAAACCAATCGTGAAAACCATGGATTGAAACATACTGGACAAAAACCATTCCAATGTGAATTATGTTACAAATTGTTTAAAACTGATGTGGGTTTAAACCTTCATAAAGCAAAGGAAATACAGTGTTTTGTATGTTGCAAGATGATGCCAAAGCAATCAAAATCAGCACATATGAAGAAGCATATTGCCAAAGGACAAATATAAGACAACACAATTGCTGTTCAATAGTTTCATCTATGTATTTTAATAGACATTGTACAATTGTTGTTGGACTATTGTAACAATATCAATTGTTGTTGGACTATTGTAACAAATATAGAGTAAATCTGTAGGAGAGGATTTTAGAAATGTTTGTTAACTTAAGTCTGTTTTTAGGGATTACATAGAAATATAAGTTCATAGAACAATAGAAGGAATATAATCCATTTTGTTTTGTCAGAAAGAATACACTGATACTTACAAGAAATTGTTTACTAACATTTACTATGTCAGAGTGTATGTAGTTTAGACATAGAGTAGCTCTTTAGATTTGGAAATAAAAGTAGTTCTTAATCTATAACCTTTTAACAATGTTCAATCTCTCATCAAGGAAGTACATCTGGATGCCTTTTTGTTATGTAAGAGTTCTAACTGGATGTGCTTTATATGATACATGTAAGGGCAGATATGTTTGTGTTTTGGATTGATACATTCTGACCAAATTTGAAATAACTCTATTTTATTCTTATGGTAGGGCTATGGGACGTGAATTCTACTGATTTTGCTGGTCATGGGCTGCAAAACTATAATCCAACACCCGACACCCAAGAGGAGCCTGATTCACTCTGTCAACACTGTCAACGAATATTCCCAACATCAAGGTGTATGGAATACCACACAACTATAGTACATTCAGGATACTGCGATATCTGTAACAAACGTTTAGACGCGGAGAGTGATCGACAAAATCATGGATTGAAGCATAAGGGACAGAAGCCATATCAGTGTGACTTGTGTTACCGATTGTTCCAGACTGACACAGGACTGAAGCATCATAAGACAAAGGAGATTCAATGTCATATTTGTCACAAGATGTTACCAAGATCAACTAAAGCTGCTCATATGAAAAAGCATGCAGCTAAAGGACAATTTTGAACGTGTGCACTTGCAGTCCTTTTACCATAAATATCTACCATATAATCCTAATACAATCATGAAAGGGGAATTTTGAATGTGTGCACTTGCAGTCCTTTAACCATAAATATATCTACCATATAATCCTTAATACAATCATGAAAGGGGAATTTTGAACTCACTGCTATTACATTTCGGTGTCCCATGAAAAACATGTTGGTTAGGCAATCGGCCAGTTTTGAACTGAATATGCACAAATCAGTGCCATGTGTAAAACTTGTAATTAAGGATGTTTGTAACTTTAAACTCAAATGTTTTGCAAGTCTTTCCTATGGAAAAAGTTTGGCTTAAAGGCAAATGAACCTCTTGAAACTTAAATAAAGAATGTTTATTTTCTGTTAAATTATGACACAATAAAGTTCTGTCTCATTTATTTATGCTTTAAGATTCACTATTAAGTTCAAGATTAGTTTTAGAATAGATAAGTAATAGTAAGCAAAAATGTATACCTCATATATATCTTTCTCCGTTTTGTGTAAAAAGATTACACCTATTTCATTGACTATGATAAATGTGTAAATTACATAATAAATTAACTGTTAATTAACTGGCATATAAACAGTACAGATGCTTTAGCTTTGGATTTAGCCTTAGTTAAAACAATAACATTTTATTAAAAGGGCATTTTCTGTTAGAATATCGGAAATACTGGAGATGTAATTCAGCTAAGTAATGTATTTACTAAAATACAACTGCCAGATATCTCAAGATATGGAAAGGTTTTGTAAACTAGGATACATTGAAACCTTTTTTAAGTGGAACACCTTTGGTACCTCTAAAAAGTGGTCTACTTAAGAGTTGTTCCACTTTGAGATTCGTGTAACATTAAGTTGGTCAGTTGGTATTGGGACTCTGTAATGTGCTCCACTATAAGAGGTGTATCATACTTACAGATACTTTTCACTGTATTTGAAAATGATAGTTGGAAAGGTTCAGTTTTAACTTTTAATTTATTTCTGCTAAATGTTAAGGATTTGTATTTATGTGTATATTGTAAGACTTTATGTTTATCTAACCTGTGTTGGTTTTACTCATATTTATGTGTATTATAGCACCACATGCATAATCTGTAGACTGTAAGTACATATTATTGTAAAAAGTACTATAGTTGTAGAAATATAGTTTTATAATATGTAAATGTCTGCTTTGTTTGTTTTATGATAGGAGGTTGGATCAATGTTCAGCCAGCAGACTACAAACAAGATATGGGTGCTGCCCAAGTTGACCCTGGTTCTCTGAATGATCAGACGCAAGAAGAGCCAGACCGTACCTGTGACATATGTCATCGTATATTCCCCACATCACGCTGCATGGAATATCACACATCGGTTGTACACAATGCATTCTGTGATGTTTGCAACCAACGTATTGATCATGAAACCAATCGTGAAATACATGGATTGAAACACGCTGGACAGAAACCATTCCAATGTGAATTGTGTTTGAAATTATTTCAAACAGAAACTGGACTTAAGCATCACAAAGCCAAGGAAATAAGATGTCACATTTGTGGAAAAATGGTCCAAAGGCAAATCAAGGCAACACATATGAAGAAACACATGTCTACTGGCTAATGTTATAAAGACAAGAAAAAGACATGTTTTAGTTAAATCAACTAGATATAATGTAGGAACATTACATGTGGAGTATATCAGTAAACATTACTGCTAATTGTGTCAAGCAGACTACTTTTTATTAACTTGTTTAATCTGAACACCACTTGGACCAGAAAAGTGTTCAGATAAGCCGGTGTTCACATTTCTTTTTTTTCAAATATGTGAGTTTATTGGAAATAACAATTTGGGAACAAGAAAAAGGTGTTTATATTGAGAGGTGTTTGGATTGGAGATGAATTTGGATATACAGGTTTCACTGTACTGTATACCCCAGTTGAGCAAATGAAGAGATTCACGTCCATATATAATCATAACTGGACTTGGAACGGAAAGAATGGAACAGATAATGTTCAACTTGAATCAAGAGGAGACACATTCACAAAGTGCAATAAGAGTTCATGATTACTAAGAAATGATGGGATGTGACTGCATTAAATTAAATAAAGACACTTTATCTTTTTTATATGTGTATCCTCCATCTTGTCATTGTAACATTTAATTTTCTGGATTAGAAATATCTGTATTTCAACGGAGAAATGTTGCACAGTTACTGCTATCAGTACATAAAATTAAATTGACAGATTAAACAATTCCATACACTTTAATTCAATAATCACCTCTTTTTAAATCACATTTTCTCAAAAGAGTTTAACATAGACCTTTATATCGGGCTGACTTTCCTTAGGTGCAGTGTTTTTATGAAAACATAACATTTTGTTAATGCAGTTCTGATTAGGTACCTGAATGCATGAATCTTATTTAATTTAGGCTAGATCAAAATCAAAGTGTATTTATGAAGCTCTTTTCTAACATGGGAAATAGATTCTTAGATTTTGGCAACCTAAACCAGTTGTAATCAGGAGGGTGTGACCCAAAAGTTTTCTGTATGTTTGTAATCTGATTTTTCAATTTTTCTTTAGGAATTGGAGGATGGGATCTAAGAAACTCTGAAATGCTATCACAACCTCCAGTGGCACAACTTGAAAATGTACAAGGAAAATCCTCAAATAAGGAACCTGACTCTATATGCGAATACTGCCAGTATGTATTTCCCACATCACGCTGCATGGAATATCACATCTCGGTTGCTCACAATGGATTCTGTGATGTTTGCAACCAACGTATTGATGGAGAACCAAACCCTGCAATACATGGATTGAGACATAAAGGATTAAAACCATTCCAATGTGATTTGTGCTATAAATTGTTCCAATCAGATAGCGGCTTGAAATTCCATAAAACAAAGGAAATAAGATGTCATATTTGTGACAAACTTGTACAGATGCAAAATAAAGCAGCACACATGAAGAAGCATGCTTCAAAGGGACAGTTTTGAGAATCCGTTGAAGAGTTTAAATACAGTAAAATCTGTCTAATCTGAACATCATTTGGACCAGCTAAAAGTGTTGGATTGATAGGTGTTCACATTTTGAGGTTTCTTGACATGAAAGTCGCGAGTCAGTTTGAAAAAGGTGACCTACAAAATGTGTTCACATTGAGAGGTTTCATGACATGAGAGTCGCGAGTCAGTTTGAAAAAGTTGACCAACAAAAAGTGTTCACATTTTGAGGTTTCTTGACATGAAAGTCTATGTCAGTTTGAAAAAGTTGACCAACAAAAAGTGTTCACATTTTGAGGGTTTCTTGACATGAAAGTCTATGTCAGTTTGAAAAAGGTGACCAGGAAAAAGTGTTCACATTTTGAGGGTTTCTTGACATGAAAGTCTATGTCAGTTTGAAAAAGTTGACCAACAAAAAGTGTTCACATTGTGAGGTGTCATGACAGGTTTTACTGTACATATAAAATATAGGTGAATTATATGGTAACAATTAAAATAAAACCATTTAACTTGTTTTACTTAAGATTTTGTTTTAGTTAATCATATCTGGAGATGTAATTCATTGGAAATAAATTTCATGGAGCTAGAATTTATAAGGACCACAATACCTGAATAAAAGTTACTAACATTATGGAATATATTTTTTGAATTTGTGATTGTTTTGGTTTTGAAAATAATACATTTTTATAAACTGTTTTCATTTCATCATATTATGAATTAATAGTGCAATAACGTCATTTCTGCGGGCAATATAGTGAAATATTGGACCAAAGGCCCAAGGTCCAATATTTCACTATATTGCCCGCAGAAATGACATTAGTACTTTTAAGTTTGTCATTTTCTACTCTTGATATACACTTACCAAATGTTGTTCATGTACAGTATATGTTAAGCTGGTACTTGACAGGATGTCTAAGTGTTAAATTTGGCTGAAAATATTAGAAGTATTATCAAAATGATAAAGCTGAATAAGAATAAGAAAATAACAGCAGATGGAGAGCAACTTTTATTTAACAAAACAATCACCTCAAGCGCATAATTAATATATAATATTTTGAAACCCCTGCGATCTAAGCCAACATCGTAATCATGAATAGAGGTTCAAAATCAATCCAATCAAGTTTTTCTGTGTGTAATCTGATTTCTCATTTCTTTAGGATTGGGAAACTGGCCCTATGGAAAGTCCCAAATGTTACAAACTCCAATGACACAACAAAGATAGGTCCTTGATGAGGAACCAGATGCCATTTGTGAAAGCTGTCACTTTATATTCCCTACATCACGCTGCATGGAGTACCACACCTCGGTTGTTCACACTTTATATTCCCTACATCACGCTGCATGGAGTACCACACCTCGGTTGTTCACACTTTATATTCTCTACATCACGCTGCATGGAGTACCACACCTCGGTTGTTCACACTTTATATTCCCTACATCACGCTGCATGGAGTACCACACCTCGGTTGTTCACACTTTATATTCCCCACATCACGCTGCATGGAGTACCACACCTCGGTTGTTCACACTTTATATTCCCTACATCACGCTGCATGGAGTACCACACCTCGGTTGTTCACATTTTATATTCCCCACATCACGCTGCATGGAGTACCACACCTCGGTTGTTCACACTTTATATTCCCTACATCACGCTGCATGGAGTACCACACCTCGGTTGTTCACACTTTATATTCCCCACATCACGCTGCATGGAGTACCACACCTCGGTTGTTCACACTTTATATTCCCTACATCACGCTGCATGGAGTACCACACCTCGGTTGTTCACATTTTATATTCCCCACATCACGCTGCATGGAGTACCACACCTCGGTTGTTCACACTTTATATTCCCTACATCACGCTGCATGGAGTACCACACCTCGGTTGTTCACATTTTATATTCCCCACATCACGCTCCATGGAGTACCACACCTCGGTTGTTCACACTTTATATTCCCTACATCACGCTGCATGGAGTACCACACCTCGGTTGTTCACACTTTATATTCCCCACATCACGCTGCATGGAGTACCACACTTCGGTTGTTCACACTTTATATTCCCCACATCACGCTGTATAGTAACATCAGTGTATTTTTTTAGCACCCAGCGTATTAATTTTTCATCTCTTCTTCAGGAATGGGAAACTGGAATCTTGGGAACTCTGCAGCTTATGTACAAGGGAAATCCCCCAATGAGGAGCCAGATTCTATATGTGAACGCTGCCACCATGTATTTCCCACATCACGCTGCATGGAGTACCACACCTCGGTTGTTCACAATGGATTCTGTGATGTTTGCAACAAGCGTATTGATGGGGAGCCAAACCCTGAAAACCATGGATTGAAACATACAGGATTAAGACCATTTCAATGTGATTTGTGTTTCAAGTTGTTTCAGACAGATAGTGGGCTCAAACGTCACAAATCAAAGGAGATAAGATGTCACATTTGTAATAATTTTGTGTCGGTGCAAAATAAATCAGCACACATGAAGAAACATGCCTCCCAAGGGCAATTTTAGATACTGACATTTTAGTTGAAAGAAATGCTATAGATTTTCTCATGAAAAGAGGTTTATAGAGGACATGCTTGATTATATATTTTAGAAAGATATTCAAAAAGTCTGTAAAAATTGTGGCTGAGTTTTCTCATTATAATTTTTAAGCCTTTCATTTTAAACCACAGGGATGTGTATTATATGTGATTTTAACATTGAATAAATTGTGTATAAAAATATATAAACAATTGCAACTCGTGAATAGAGAGTGTTTATGTCGGAAGATATCTTTATAATAATCACATGTCCCTGAAATGGATTAGAAATCTCTATTGTAATAATAATTGTTGTATTTAAAATTTAGAGATGCAGAAATTAGAGTCAAATAAGCGAAATCAAGGCATTTTTATGAAATAGCTTTAATAGCTAGTCCCCAGTGCCTTTTTCTATGATATACCAAATACAACAATCAAACATAGAACAATTTCCCTTGGGTAAGTCAGTAAATATAAGGGAACAAACAAAACAATCTTCTTAGGTGGATGGTTTTTTTTGTAACCTCTTAGATGTTAACCCCTTTTTGGTTTGCAATGTTTAAAAAGTTTTAACAGTGTATTCAATCGATAATAATTTTTCCGTAATTGTAACACCTAGTTAAACAGTGGAGTCTAAAAATCTCTAAAAATGAACACTTTTTCTTGGTCTCAGATTTATTATAAATCTCCCGTTGACTCACATGTTTAAAAAACCTGAAATGTAAACACCTGTGTCTGGATTAGACAGGTTTTACTGTACTTTGGTGTATCTCAAATAAAGTTACGAGGAAGCATCTGCCATCCACGCCTAAGTGCTACATCATTGAACATTAATTTTTTATATCTTCTTTAGGATTGGGAGACTGGGGACTTGGGAATCCTATAGCACATGTACAAGTGAAAGCCCCCAATGAGGAACCTGACTCTGTATGCGAACGCTGCCACCATGTATTTCCCACATCACGCTGTATGGAATATCACAACTCAGTTGTACACAATGCATTCTGTGATGTTTGCAACCAACGTATTGATCATGAAACCAATCGTGAAAGCCATGGATTGAAACATACGGGACTTAGACCATTCCAATGTGAATTGTGTTTTAAGTTGTTTAAAACAGATAGCGGGTTGAAACGTCATAAAACAAAGGAGCTGCAATGTCATATTTGTAACAAATTTGTTGCTATGCAACATAAAGCAGCCCACATGAAGAAACATGCTTCTCTAGGACAGTTTTAGACACTTGAGTGATTTTGAAGGAATTTTTTAAATGAAGCATCGGGCCAACGTGTACTGTTGTACGCATGTTGTACGCAATTTATGGAAGGCAGTTTGTCTGGCAATAAGATAAATAAATATCATTTTTGTTCATACAGTTATCAATTTAAGCCGTTGATTGTGTATTCCTGTCGAACTTTGACATTTAAACAATTAGGAAATAAACAGCTTATAGGAAATAAGATGTCATATTTGCAACAAACTTGTACCTTCACAAAATAAAGCCACACATATGAAGAGGCATGCTTCTAAGGGACAGTTCTAGAGTCGTTTATATAAACATGAGTGAATTCAGTTTCTAGATATTAGGCCCAGAGAGGCAAATTCATATATGAGATGGGATATACATTGCTACTACTAATATTGGATATCATTTTTTCGTAGATGAGGCAAAAATTGAGTGAATGGCTATAAGATAAAATTATTAAACTTCATTTTCACATTTTGAATTGAAAAAGTCTGCACTTATATTAGATTGTATATCTCATGCCTTTTATATATGCTGAAGAATTTAACGGAACATGAACAGTAAACTGTATTTAGTTGAAAGGACAATATGACTACAATTTAGAACGACAGCTTTAATTTAGATTCATAATTTTATGTTCTGTAATCCAAAATGATACTGCTATTCGATATATATTTTGTCATACTGTATATTTAATCTATTACAATTCTAAGAATTATCTTGGAATTTCATGAAGACTCCATATATGTAGTTATACTCCAGCTGAGCAAATTTGTTTTATTTTTATTATGTCACCACCAGGATGTCGTGACATATTGTTATGGTCTCCATTTTTTGTAGCAGAGGTAACGGTGGTTGGTGATCTTCGGGTGGCGAGCGGCGGTTGGCATCTGTGGCGGTTGGCATCTGTAACAAATTCTTAAAAATTCCAATAACTTAACAAATAGTCTGTTTAGACTGACTTCATTTTTTCCAAATCATCTACAAGTTTTCAAAGGTTCAAATCTGACTTTACATTCAGGATCTGACCTTCAATGACCATTTCAAGGTAAAAAAAAGGTCAAAAGGGTCTTATTTCAACTTGCTTCCAATTGATCAAATATTTTTTTCAAAATCATATACAAGTTATAAGAAGTTCAAATCTGACTTAAAATTTAAGATTCTCAAGGTCAAAAAAGATTTGACCTTCAATGACCGTTTAAAACTGTCTTTTTTTAATTTACCTAGTTCTCAGAAGTTCAAATCTGACTTTAGATTTGAAATTTGACCTTCTCAGGGTAAAAAATCTTGCTTCAAATTGACCAATTTTTTTTTAACAAATCATCTACAGAGTTCTCAGAAATTCAAATCTGACTTAAGATTGAACTAATAATATTGTGTCAACTAAGTGATGACATTTTGTCATGTTAATGCCTCGTTTTATTTATCAGTGTGCAAGTACATTTGATAACTAATGGGTACAAAAACTTGTTAGTCAATTAAGTTAAATCACAGTAACACAATCAGATTTTATACACTCAGTTAAGAAGGAGTTGTTAAGTATAAAAACTAATGATTAATAAAAAAAAAAGTTGAATTAAAAAGACAATACATACATTTGATGTGAGCAGTTATGAATGTTCAGGCAATATATGCACTTAAAAGTTGCAATACTATCTCATATTAATAATGATGATCAGTTTTCATGCTTCTCCATATTTTTTCATATGGTCATGCATTACAAGCAGTTTAATGAAATCAGTGCCCTTCATTATATTTTGCAAGAATTGAGTGTGTTTTATCTGATTATTGGCACATTTTCAGTTTAAAAGCATGCATACTCTATATAGACCATGTACACCTATTAGGTGTGTAGAATATTACCACTGTATGGCTATGTGTGAAAATGTTATTTCCTAAATGATTTGAACGTTATAATGTCCCTTTGTATGACTGCAACCATTTTGTAAAAGAACAAAGTCATTGTTTTGAATAAAACTTCAAAATATATTTTTAATCAGAATCATTTTGTTCTTTATTCAGGCTTCTCCATGACTGGCCAAATTGACACCCCTCAAAGTGCAGCTTGGGCTCACAATGATCAATCCCTAAACAAACAGAGTGGACCATGGCCACAGATGGGTCAATCCCTTGATCCCACAACATCTGCTACACATGGATCCACTTCTAAAGATGATATGTTCATTGAAGACCCTTCCACTTTCAGCTGTTTGAAATGTAACATAGAATTCCCGTCTAAATCATGCTCTGAGTATCATCACTCAGTCGTGCATAATAAGTACTGCGATGTTTGCCAAAAGAGGCTCGATGATGAACCTGAGGAGGGATTGATCCATCATGGATCCATTCACGCTGATGTGAAGCCATTCCAGTGTGATTTATGCTACAAGTTATTCGCGAGTAAAACCGGATTGAAGCTGCATAAAGTGAAGTTCCAGCAATGTATTTTGTGCCACAAAATGGTTCACATCGTTGACAGAGGGAAACATTTGAGATCGCATCATGCATATTAGGGGTCGTCTCAAGAAGTTTTAGTTTACACACAGTTCTGCATCCTTTATTTAACCCAACCTGTAATTTTGGCAGTTTGGTAGACCACCAAATTAGGAAGTTTTAATTTTATACAATTTATGAATGTATTAAAAATACACAGAAAATCTACAAAATTAAAATTATTATGAATACAAGTAATGAATCTGTGAATACATAGGCTTAAAGAGAACACATAAGTTAAGAATAATGAAGGGAAAAATATGTTTTTTTTTAATTTTTAAAGCAATATTCAGACAAGTCAGTTGGACAGTAAAGAGGGAAAACTCTTGGCACGAGTGATAATAGTCATTAACTGAATATATTTGATATTAGATATAAGTTCTAGACACTTTTACACGCATCTACATACTATGATTGAAGGAGCTCTGATTGAAGGAGCTCAATCCTTAACGTGTATTTTTAAGAAAAAAGATTTGTTAGTAAAAAAGAAAACTATTTGTTAAGGATAAAAATTATATATTGTTTGTAAAAAGTATGCATATAAACTAAATAAGACTATAAGAATAACTATCTGATTTTAATAAAGATAAAAAACAATTTAACGTTATTAAGTAGTCATGTGTGTATTTATTTTTCAATTCAGAATATCTCACGCAGTGGGAAGTCAACGGGGAGTCTTCAAAAACAGGAGTAGCTGAACATTCAAATATAGATGGCAGCAAAGGACCCGGCAGGCAATCTGATGGTTTGTTCATCGAGGACACAACCAGGTTTTTCTGTCCCGAATGCACGAGCGAATTTTACACAAAATCGTGCCTGGAGTACCACACTTTAGTCGTTCATAACAAGTATTGTGAAGTTTGTAAAAAACGGTTAGACGGAGAAGAGAACCTGACTGAACATGGATTGATCCATCAGGGTCTGAAACCGTATCAGTGTGATTTATGTTATAGGACATTTTCTGGGAAGGGATCCCTGCGGTTCCATAAAACAAAGCATTTGCAGTGCGTTGTTTGCAGCAAAATGGTGCATGGTTGTGAAAAAGCAAAACATATTAAAAGTCATCATTGAGGATTGAGCATCATTGAGGACAAAACAGACCATGGTAAAAAATAAGCACAAAATGATTAATGATAATTCACCTAAGATGAGAACCCATGATGAGAAATAACCAATGATGAAAATTAACTCATGATGAGAAACAACCAATGATGAAAAATAACTTATGATGTGAATTAACCAATGATGAAAATTAAGCTATGATGAGAAATCACCAATGATGAAAATTAAGCTATGATGAGAAATCACCAATGATGAAAATTAAGCTATGATAAGAAATAACCAATTATGTAAATTTAGCTAAGATGAGAAATAACCAATGATGGAAATAAATATAAAACAGAAATAGCCCATTACTAAAAACAACTGGAAG